TTCGTTTACCATTATTCTGTCTTTCGGGACGGACCCTAGAACTGAATGTGCTTGAAAGTTCAAGTGGAACACTTCAAATTCCGCAATCTTTAGGGAGTTTTCTCTAATTTCTAAAGTCCACGGTCGTTTTGTGTGGATATCTTGAACTTTAAGGGGATTTTGTGAAATTTTTCTAAGAAATAAAATTTATTTTCTAAACAACTTTCTTTTCTTTTTCCTCTATATTCGTTCAAACCAAACACAACCTAAATCCCTTGCACACTGCAAAGATAGAATAGTATTTTGCTAAATAAATTGGTTGAAGAGAAATTAAAAGTCGGGTAGAAATTTTTATCAAAAAAAAAAATCAAGTAGAAATCTATACATAATATAGTACTTTTGGTTGCTAACAACGATACTAAAAAAATGTTGGTTTAGGAAGGAGAAAATTTTAAAATAGGCCAGTATTAATAAATATTTAGCAAAACCGACCGTTTTGCTAAATATTTAGCAAAACCGACATCTTTTTGGCTAGCTCACCAAAGTTGACCAAAAAAAGACCGGCTTCGTTGAAACCTGTTTTCAAAACACATGGGACCAGTAGTCCTATGTGTTTAGTGACTACTAATCACCCCTTAAACAAATCGGGAAAACCCAACGAGACTAGTCCCGTGGGTTTTTTTCTTCACAGTAACAACCCCCTCTCCCTTTGTTTGGAAATTAATAGCTTTAGCTTCAGCCTTGAAACTAAAGTGATCGGAGGAGGATTTCGATCGGAGACGAGAGCGCGCTGAGATTGCCGGAGGATTTCGATTGAAGGGGGAGAGGATCTGATCGAGGGTGGGGCCCTTCAATCCGACAACGATCTGGGTGATGATTGCATGGAGAGTGGACAGTACGAAGGCCTAGACAGGTGTCGAGTCAACCTGAGCATTCATAAATGCGACTCACCTCAGCTGTCTAAGTCAAGAGCTGGATCCGCCGGCACTCAGCAGGTTGGCTAGACCCACTCGAGTACTGTGCACCTACTTCGCCGCCTCTCCTGACCGGAAAGGAGAAAGCACCGTGCTCAAAGCACGCCGGGCGGTCACGCACAGTATGAGTGATCGGACAGACACCTCATCGATCTGCGAACTCATAAATGCGGTTCATTAATGCTGGTCAAGTCCACTCGGATAGCAGACGGCCGTTACCTCATATACAAGGATGGGCCTTCCCATTTTAGGTGACAGGACATAAAGCACAATCCCTCGAATGACCATTCATGGTACCGAGGAGCAGCTAGACGTCTCTGAAGAAGATATGGTCACATCCCATAATTCAAGGATGAGTCAAGCTGTCCCTCTTTCATTTAAAAGCCCCTTCCAGCACACTGGAGGAGAGGTCGCAAACTTAGAGAAAAGAGTTGAGACCAAGCTCTCTGCATAATCCTTGCATTGCAGCATTACTGTTTAGTTCCGAGCTCCGATCGCCGACGAACTAAGCAGACCCGAACTCCCTCGAGTTGAGCTTCTACTGCGAACTGAAGCTCTCCAGCAACCTCGATCGAACGGTCCAAGGGAAGCAGACTCGACACGAGCATCGAGCGAAGCGTCCTATAGCCACCTAAAGTCCCCACACAAAACAAAGAGGGCATTCCCTCTGCTTATGTTGTAACCATTTGATTATTAGTTTGTAATAATCTTTCTTATTAATACAAACGAACCCTCCCTGTTTTCGGGAAATCAAATTTACACCATACAGTCGGCGGTGACGGTGGACCTCACGTGCTTCGAGAGGTTGAGGCGAAGTCGGTTTGTTCAAGATCAATTCTCTCATGTACATTTTTGAAAAAATTTCCCCTTTTTTCGGGAATTTCTAAGAGTTGAGGAAAGTGAGAGTGTGAAGAAGGGCGCATAAATGGAAGAAGAAGAAGAACATTGGTGGTGGTGATGGAGAGGGAGAGTCGGGGAGGGGGGAGAAGAAGAAGATAGTGGTGG